GAGGTTCCAAAGAGGATGGAGCTAGGCTGTTCTCAGTGGTGGCAGATTACAGAACAAGAAGCAATGGTCTCAAGGTGCAGTGGGGGAGGTCTAGGTTGGATATTAGGAAACACTATTTCACTAGGAGGGTGGTGAAGCACTGGAATGGGTTACCTAGGGAGGTCATGGAATCTCCATCCTCAGAGGTTTTAAGGCCCAGCTTGACAAAGCCCTGGCTGGAATGATTTAGTTGGTGTTGGTCCTGCTTTGAACAGGGGATTGGACTAGATGACCTCCTGAGGTCTCTTCCAACCCTAATATTCTATGATTCTGTGCTGCTGTATGTGTTGTCATTCCTCTGTAACTACACAAAGAACCTGTGGTGTGTTCCATGGGCATTACATTTACTACAGGGGGAAAACTGTTTCTCATATTGTTATTTTAGCCCTACTAAACCATAGCAGAAAAGTCACTTTCAAGACTGTTTAGAAGTCATACTTATAATGGGCCCAACCCTGCGATATGCTGACTACCTTCTAGCAGGTGATGAACTCTCTTTAGGGTATGTCTATATTGGCAGAGTTACAGTGCCGGCAGTTACATCGCCGCTCAGAGAGGACTGAAGGGAAACCGCTGTTGTGTGTTCATACTGTCAGCTGCCTGCGCAATAGCGTGTTCACACTTGCAGCACTTGCAGCAGTATTTGGAGTGGTGCACTCTGGACAGCTGTCCCACAGAGCATCTCTTCCTTTTCTGCCACTAAGAGTTATGGGAAGGCGAAGGGGGTCACGGGGCATCCTGGGTCCTGTCCCAATGCCCCATGATGCATTGCTTGGCATCCCAGAAATCTCTGTGCTTCCGTCTGCATTAGACGCCATCTTTCAACGGTTTGTGTACTGCGCGCTCTGCCTCTTCGGTCTGCAGGAATGGATCCCGCACTCTTGACCAATATGCTGCTCGCAATCACTAACACGTCACAAGTGGCAGTGGAGTTATTCCTTAAACTACAAAGGCAAGAGGAGTTCAAGATTGATCTCGCCACGCATAGTAGCTATGACACGAGATTGCTTGTGGCATTCACGGAGGTGCTGACCACAGTGGAACGCCGCTTTTGGGTTTGGGAAACAAGCACTGAATGGTGGGATCACATCGTCGTGCACGTCTGGGATGATGAGCAGTGGCTGCAGAACTTTCGGATGAGGAAAGCCACATTCGTGGGACTGTGTGATGCGCTCACCCCAGCTTTGTGGCGCAAGGACCTGAGAATGAGAGCTGCCCTGTCGTTGGAGAAGCGTGTGGCAATTGCACTGTGGAAGCTGGCTACTCCAGACTGCTACCGATCGGTCGCTAACCAGTTCGGAGTGGGAAAGTTGACCGTTGGACTCGTGTTGACGGAAGTGTGCAGGGCCGGATGAATTACATTCTGCTCCGAAAGACCGTGACTCTGGGCAACATGTGTGACATTGTGGATGGCTTTGCACAAATTGGCTTCCCTAACTGCAGAGGGGCGATAGATGACATACATATTCCAATTTTGGCACCAGACCACCTAGCCACTGAGTATATTAATCGGAAGGGGTATTTCTCTATGGTGCTCCAGGCGCTTGTGGATCACCGTGGGTGTTTCACAGACATTAATGCAGGCTGGTCCAGAAAGGTGCATGACACACGCATCTTTCAGAACAGTGGCCTCTTCAGGAAGCTGCAAGCAGGGACTTTCTTCCTGGACCAGAAGATCACCATAGGGGAAGTCAAAATGCCCATTGTGATCCTGGGAGACCCTGCCTACCCCTTAATGCTGTGGCTTATGAAGCCATACACAAGGAACCTTGACAGCAGCAAGGAGCGGTTCAACAACAGGCTGAGCAAGTGCAGAATGACTGTTAAGTGTGCTTTTGGCCATTTAAAGGCCCACTGGCGCTGCCTATATGGGAGGCTGGACCTGGCTGATGACAATATTCCTGTGCTTATAGCCACGTGCTGTACACTCCATAATATTTGTGACGGGAAGAGTGAAAGCATCACTCAAGGCTGGACCGCTGAGGCTCAGTGCCTGGAGGCTGAATTTGAACAGCCAGAGACCAGGGCTATTAGAGGGGCGCAGCGTGGGGCCATAAGGATCAGGGATGCCTTGAGGGCAGCAATTTGAAGCTGAAAGCCACTAATATTTGTTGCTATGCTCAGGAGTGCAGTGCTTGTAATGCTAGGAGGCGATTGTGATTGGTGCAGACGATGCCCAGTGAAGGTTTAAGAAAATGGCCTGTTGATTTGCAGGGCTCTGTTTGCTTTCAATTAATGGAATAAAGATTGCTTTCAAACCAAAACAATTATTTTATTAAAAAAAAAACAACGGAGGACAGAGACAAACAAAAAAACACATCAGCACTGTGAGGGATGGGGGAAGGGAAGGTCCGAGGGGGAGGTGGGGTCCCGGGACAGTTAAAGATTTGTGTATGTACAGGTATCATATGCAACCTTGTCCTTTGGAGTACAGTGCAGTGGGTACTGTACTTGAGCAGGGCTAAATTGCAGAGGGATGGATGTTGAGTGCAGTGGGTACTGGGAGTCCGCAGGGCTTGGCTGTGACGGGGCAGGAGTGGAATGCAACAGGTACAGGCTGGAGCCAGGAGGTTGATAAGCGGTGTCTGGGGGGCGCATGATAAAGAGTTTTGCGACAGGGAGGGCGGACACGGAGCTGTTTGGTTTGCAGTGCTAGTAGCGCCTGGATAGTGTCTGCTTGGCGCTCCATAACATTTAAGAACTGCTCCGTGGCTTCATTCTGGCATGCTGCGTTCTCCTTTCGGTCCCTCTTCTTGCTGTCCTGCTGCTCCTTCAATTCTTGTTTTTTGGCCGTGGAGTGCACCGTGACATCACGCAGAAAGTCCTCTTTAGTTCTTTGTCGCCGCTTTCTAATTCTGAGCAGCTGTTCAGCCGGCGATAACAAAGAAGGAGGCTGCGCTCCCAAGGTCATATCTGTGAAGCCAAAATGCAACAATTTACAGAAGCAGTATTGTTTGCAACACACAGACCACTGATTTAAAACACAGCTACTATTCACATACCTGTCACTAACTGGCTGACTCCAGGCAAACACACATGAGCCACAAGACCCCCCCAAAATGTTTAGTAACCGCAGGGGCAGTGGAAATCAGTGTTCCAGGACCATACTGTACACTGGGCACTTGGCTCTTAGGGAGAGCCAGCACTGTAGGGGGGACCTTATAATCATTACTGTCCCCACATTTTCCACAGGCTGTATTCATTATGGAAGATATCTCGCTGCAGAGGGTGAGCAGGGAATTAAGGGAGGGTCGTCTCCAAGACTGTGGCTTCCATCCTGGCCCTTATACAGCTCTCCTGTGTGCAGCTATGGTCCCTCCGTCCCCCAGTGACAGCAGAGTGGCACAGGAAAGTTACCCTTAATGAGGCAAGAAACAAAGCAGCTCTGCCAAAGAGCCTGTGGCAGTGGATTGCCCAGTATCTCCATGACAGTTTCCTGGAGATCTCTGAGGCAGATTCCTGTGAGGTGAGGGAGTCAATCAACACCCTGTTCCGCCACTCAGAGTAGGCATGTGATGGTACGCGCATCATACAGACACAAGCCTGCTTTCTGCAACCCTCCTGCCCCCAGCAACTCGCTTCAGCGATTCCCAAAATCAAAGCCACTTACCAGGGGCCTCCTCTCCTGTTTGCACTTCGCCAAAATCCGACAGCTGTGACTGGCTACCCTCCTCCGGGGTAGAGAAGAGCTCCTGGCTGAATGCATCTCTGATCTCCGAGTCGTCCTCTGCCTCTGGGTCCCCCTACCCCTCCACATCCTCGTCCAAGATTTCTTCCTCCTGGCTCAGTTCACTCTCAACTGGCACATGAGCCACCGAAGTATCGACAGTGGCCTTCACAGTGGAGATGGGGTCACCACCGATTATCATGCCTAGCTCTTTGTAGAACCAGCAGCTCGTGGGTGCAGCACTGGATTGGCAGTTTGCCTCCTGCACCTTGTGGTAGGCTTTCCACAGCTCCTTCACTTTGACCCTGCACTGCAGTGTGTCTCGGTCACGGCCCCTTTCTATCATGCATCGTGAAATCTGTCCATAGATATCATACTCCTACGGCTGGAGTGCAGCTGGGACTGGACAGCCTCCTTTCCCCAAATGCTGATGAGGTCCAGCAGCTCGGCATTGCTCCAAGTGGGGGATCACCTGGTGCGTGAAGCAGGCATGGTCACCTGGAAAGATGCGCTGAGACCACTGCATGCGTCACCGAGCAAACAGGAAGGGGACTTTCAGAATTCCCAAGGAATTTAAGGGGTGGGGCTCACAATTGGTCACCTGAGGGCAAGGCAGTAGTGTTCAAACTGATGACCAGAAAGGTGAGAACAGGCATTGTGGGATACTTCCTGGAGGCCAGTTGCAGCGCTGTAATCAACCAGGGTGTCTACACTGGCACTGTGGCGCTGTAGCCCAGGCACAGAAAGCTGTACGCCTCGTCAGGGTGATTTTTTTACCGCGCTGCAACTGTGCAGTTTCTGCGCACTAGGTGGCTTGGCAGTGTGTACGCTTCGGGAGTTACAGCACAGAAAGCTGCTTTACTGCGCAGAAACTGGCCAGTGTAGTCAAGGCCTTACTCTTTACTGAAGTCATGAGCTCATTGAAGGCATGGGTGTGTATGGCAGAAACCTGAATTATTTGTACTGTAATTGGGAAGCAGGAGATAGAAATTGTCTGGATGTATTGCTTGATTGATTGATTTACTGTGCTATAATACATTCTATAAGTGTGACTCTGTTTCAGAATTATTGTAACACAAAGTAAGGCTCCAATCCTGCAAAGACTTAACTTTACATCCCTAAGTAGTTCTACTGAGTTCAGTAGGACTATGCACATGTATGAAGTTAAGTAGGTGTGTAAGTCTTTGCAGGATCAGGACAGAAGGGACAACATACATGCCATACTATATCAATTGAGCATGTGAAATGCCTTTATAGTAAGTGTTATCTTTCAAAATGTCTTTTTACATTTTAGATGATGCTCCTCCTGAAAACACCTTTCCTTTGGCTTTTCCAGAACTAGAACAGCAACTTCAGGTAAACTTTGATTTTTATTTTTAACTGATTCTATACCATGTATATTAGATTAAAAAAAAAAAAACTTGAAACAATATATTTGTGCTGCCATAGTTAAGTTACTGTGAGTGTTTCAGTGGTGCACATCTGAGCTCTAAAAATTTATGGGACTGCCCATTTGCATAGAGAGAGAAACTATATCAACAAGGAGATTGGTTTGAATTTTCAACCCAGTGCAGGGAAATTTGGCCATTGTGGCAGTTTCAATTTTTTTTTTATTTACAAATTATTTGTGTGCAAACCTTAACAGGGCCCATCCTGCTGCCATTGGACTGAATAGGAGTTTCACTGCTGATTTCAATGGGAGAAGGATTGCGCCGATACTTTGTAAAATGGTTTAAAGCCCATATCCAGTCCAAGATCGGCTCCAGGCAAGCTACTTCACTGAGGCTACAAAGCATTCAGTGAAGGTGGGGCAAGAAAGGACTGGTATACAAAGGTTTTTCTTGCATTTCACTCCTAAACTTAATCTTAGGCCATCCTGGTACCAGGTCAGTCTCCAGCATAAATTAGAGCAGGGGTTCTCAACCTTTTTCTTTCTGAGGCCCCTCCCAACATGCTATTAAAAACTCCATGGCCCACCAGTGCCACAACAACTGTTTTTCTGCATATAAAAGCCAGGGCCAGCGTTAGGACGTAGCAAGCAAGGCAGTTGCCCAGGTCCCATGCTACAGGGGGCCCCACAAAGCTAAGTTGCTCAGACTTCGGCTTCCGTCCTGGGTGGCGGGGCTCTGGGTCTCGGCCTTCAGCCCCATGCAGTGGGGCTTCAGCATTCTGCCCTGGGCCCCAGCAAGTCTAATGCCGGTCCTGCTTGGCAGACCCCCTGAAACCTGCTTGCGGCCCCCTAGGGGGCCCTGGACTCCTGGTTGAGAACTGCTGAATTAGAGTATCCTGAAGGTTACCCTAATTTACGCTCTTTGGTCAACAGCCCCCACTACAACAGTCAGTGATCACAAGGATGTAAACACCTCAGCCATGTTCCCTTTGCCTCAGCCACACTTTCGACATAGGAACTGCTACAGTGATGGGGGAATCCTCCTGCCGCCTGCTAAGATGGCTTTAGTGCTGTAGTTTGTGATGCAAGGATAACACAAAGCAGCCCAACTCATCACAGAATCGGACCATTTCTGTGGGTCCATGGAAACTCAGAGGTTTAGGAGGCAAAGAGCTGGCTCCCTGTTCCTAGGGTCAGTGCCCCTCCATAGTAGCAGCAGAATGATGACAGTTTCATTTTTGATGGCTGCTTCAGATCATATCTTTCCCAGGAACATTCAGGCTCATGTAAATGACAGCAGGCATCCTCTGACATTTAAATGCAAAGGCAGGTGCTTTCCTTACGTAAACTGGGAAATATTTTCAAAGGAGCTATGTGGAGCTATGTGTTTTCTTAGCTGTCTTGTCAACTAAGGAGATGATGCCAGGGAGCCACTGGTCTGGAGAAACCTCATTTTCTGTCCTTCCCACTACTCACCAGAAAGATGATAGGGGAAGGGCTGGAGGATAATGGAGGCTGTCCTCACCCTCCCCATCAGAATACAGAGAACAGGGGTGGGCCTGTGGGATTTGTAGGGAAGGTAAGAGGAATGGGCCCAGAATACAGAATTCTGGTGTAAAGCTTGGTGGGGTGTATGATGGTATGTTAGCCTTTCTTCAGTCTGCTGATCTTTCTGCTGGCTCAGAAGGCTGTGGATATTTTCTGCAGCATATAGCCCTAATTTGATTGAGCCAGTAGTTTTTAATGGCTAGAGCACTGCATGGGAGTCAGGAAACCTGGGTGCTATTCCCAGCTCTGCAGTGACTTCCTGTGTGACCCTGGACAAGTCACTTCACCTCTCTGTGCATCTGTTTATCCTGTGTAAAATGGAAATAGTGATGTTTACTTTTCTATGTAAAACACACTGAGATCTCTGGATGAAGAGTGCTATGTATGACTATCTTCGCTGCTTGTGATATTTAAAAACAAAGTTACCCAGATAATCTGTTACTGCTACTTTACATCCAAAGTGACTATTTTTTTAATTTTTAAATTTTTAAAAAATTGTTCGCGGTGTTGGTCCCAGGATGTTAGAGAGACAAGATGGGTGAGGTCATATTTTTTATTGGACCAAATTCTGCAGGTGAAAGAGACAAAACCCATGGGTGAACACTTTTCACAAAACGGTCTTATCTGACCTCTCAGTCCTCATCTACAAAGGAAACCTGCACAACACCTTCAAAAGATGAGCTTGGAAACTTAAATTCATAAGACTGTGTCACCAGATCCCCTCACCACAGGTGGCACCTCCCCCTGGCCACTCTGGGAATTAGCTCTTTCCCAGTCCAAGGCCCCCTTTGGCTACTCGCTGCACACCCTGCTGCCACTCTCTCGCGCTTTCTGCAACTCAAGGTGCTCCTTCTTTGTGACTTGGCCCTCCAGCCAGGTCCCTATGCATGTTTTCCCCCTTCTGAGGTATCAAACTCAGTTCCTTACCTGCAGTCTTAGTCAGCCTTTTTATTCACTGCCCCGATGATGCCACTTTCACAGTGGCTGGTAGACCACCAGGGACCACCCTCTACTCTAGATTCCAGCTCAGGACCCTCTAGTCAGCAGCCAAGGTTTGCACCATCCTGAACCTTGCTTCCTTTTTGCCTGAGCCTTTCGTACTCCTTCTGGCTCTGATACCCACCCCAATCCCCCAGGTTTGCCAGCCCAATCTTTCTCCTCTCAGGGAGTAACTGAAGGCTAATTTCTATAGCCCCAACACACACACCCCTTCTCCCAGGGAGTGACTACAGACTACTTCCCTGCAGCCTCTCTCTGCTATCAGTTCTCTGGCTTTGTAGAACCCCATTCCTGTTCCTACACAGATGATCTTCCCTTAATTAGGGCTTTCCTCTCAGCCTTAGTTCCCCCAGTTTGCAGCCTAATTTATTGGCCCCTCTGGTCTACATTAACCCCTTCAGGGCAAGTGTGAAGAACACACCCTATCACACTCTGCTAGACACTAAAAATCTCTCTGCACTAAAAACCTCTTCTAGACCTGAAGAACAGCTCTGTGTAAGCTCACAAACTTGTCTTTCACCAACAGAAGTTGGTTCAATAAAAGATATTACCTCACCCACCTTGTCTCTCTATGTTTTTATTAAGACTTTTACAACCCACTTTTAGTACATATAATACACTCTCTAAATGTATACTTTCACAATAGACTGAAACTGCTCCTCTGGAAGCATTTAAGTCTGTTGGATAAATAATAGCCTTTTACAAAATATTCTAAATACACAGTAGAAAAATTCTACAAGGAGCCCTCTTGGTCTGTTGAGTCCATAACATTTTTTTTTTTTTTAAGAACTGCCTAAATATTTCCTTCTCCCTAAAGAACTCAAGATGCCACAGCCAATCCGAAGAAACCATCAAAGGCTTTGGGTCAGATAGTGTTCTTTTTATTATCTTTCAGGAACATTTTTGTAATATCAGGGAAGTATACATTATGATGAGTGTCTGGCTGATTCTACCAGATTAATTAATGTTGGTGCTTCATTCTTAGGCCACAGTCCTTCTAACACTTACACACATGCTTACATTTATACACATAAGTAATTACATTGAGTTAATGTGCAAGTGCTCAAGTGATAGCCAGATTGGGCCTTAAGCTCAGACTTTTGTGCTGTGTTTAAATTTAACAGTGAATTCAGCTCAGCCTTGAGTTTCTTTCCTTCCTTTAGTTTGTTTCACAACTATAGTGTAAATGAAATGGATTTTATATTTAATATCTTAAACTTTATTTGTATCTACTGTAAACTAGCTAGGCAATTTTATTTTGATTTTTCTCTGAATCCAAAATGCTAAGTCAATTGCAGCACAACAATGAGAAATCCTTTGACTTAAGTATGCTTGTGTGTATCTTCACAATAAAAATACCAATATTTCAGGCTACAAGGCTTTCCTCACGGTGTCAGGTTTATAGGCAGAGACACTGATATTTTATTAAGAGAAACAAAGTATACATGTAAGTGCAAGGTAAATGGATATACAACGGTTGATACTCAGTTTTTCTTAAAAAGTAACTTACCAATTGGGAGCTCCCAAACTCTTAAAGTAGGATTTTGAAACTTGTAATATCAAAGAGCACAAATGACTGGAACCCTTGTGGTGGGATTTTCAAAGCCACAAAACTAATTTGGGTATTCAATAAGTGACTGAAAATCTCAGCCTTATAGTTTAGTGCTTTTAAGCCAGAATCCTGGGCAGCAGTCTACAGACCAGATATCAGGCAGTGTGCTACTCTCTTCTCTGTTGGATGTGTGGCCTTTCTCCCTAGATGTTAGAGCCCTGAAGAGATACTGGCAGCCTTGAAATGGATCATCCCACTGCCATTCATCACTATCCGGATCCACCCACCCTTTGTGCACTTGCTTGTGGGAGAACTCTGCAGAACTGATCTTGGTACTCCACAGAACGTGTGCACTTCCCATTGAGCTGTGGAGCTTTGTCAGTCCGCTATAAGCAGAGATTCTGCAGAGGTGAAGATCCAGATCTAGAATAAATATTTCTAGATGACTAATTGCAAATATTTAGTGCTTTATAGCCATTCTTACAACAGAGCACTTTTGATAATTGAAAGTTAACTGCTTTTTCTGAAAAATGGAAATCTTCATTCCAGTATTCTGATCTACTTAGTGAAGTCACAGCAAGAACTTTGTTCTAAAAATACATTTCTGAAAGTTCCATTTTCCATTACTCTGCAATGGAAAAATTCCAAGGAGTATTACTTGCTTTGTATTAAACAAAACAAACTGCGGCACAGCTCTGATGGGCTGCATCAAGAAGACATTATAGGTGGGCCTCTAGGGCCCACTAGCCTCAGAAAGTTCAGTGTGTACTAACTACACAGCAGGCTAAACTATCTAAGTAGAAAAGTTGAATCATTCTGACATATTACAATTAATAAAATAAATAAATCCGTATGCAGAAATTACCA